TTGTAGCGCTAAGATCGCTTTGTGCAGGGCCCTGGTGTTTCTAGTTGGCTGCAGTGTGGGCATTTACCTTTTTTGTGTTTCTTTATTTTATGTAGATATGAGTTTAGTTTTGTGTGACCTGTTTGTAGTTTAATTATTATCCTGTCAATATTTATGGATATATGATGTCTTTACATTTTTTAGTGGCTTTTGGAGCATATGTTTCAGTTTGCAGTTTGAGTTTTGGTAGTTATTTTGCCACTTTTGGAAAAAAATCCCTTAGTGATGCTCCATAAATTCTCCTCTTTGTATATATTCCTGATTCCCATCAGTTATGACAAATAGTGTCATTGAGTCAGCAAGGGAGACAGGCGAGATGGATTATGACAGTCAGGAAAACAGTCTGCCTGGTAATAATGATTCTTAACAATCTGTTGCCACCCAGTGTCATGTTTTATGTCACATGATCAGTAAGCAGAAAGATGGCTTGGCTGGATGTCATGTGACAGGAGGCTGGCTCGTTAAGACAAACTGTCACTAATTAGCAGCACACAAAGGAGATCAGCATCAGCTGACGAGGTAATTAGCTCCTTGCAGAGCATATCCTAATTAGCCTCCCTAAACATCCAGACATATGCATGTGGACTGCACACAGTCTTCACACAGCCACACTTGTTGGAGACAGAAGGTAGGAGGACATATTTACCTGTCCATGTTTTGTCTGGAATAACTTTTGAAATTGGTGAGATGCTAATTTGGAAATGTACTGTAAATTTGTCATTATTGTTGCAAAATGGTCTAATGGTGAGTGAGGGAGTATTTCTTTAGGCGACTTTTAGCGATAATCCAGCAATATCATAAAGTAGACACAATTTATGGATAACATCGTCTTTAATATGTAAAGGCGGCGTTTCAGTATAGAACCGTTTTATCTTGCTTGACAACGGTATAAGGATCTATACCGAAACGTCGCCTTTACAGTATTAAAGACGTTGTTATCCATAAATTGTGTCTACTTTGTCATCCGTCAACTTCTAAGTAATGCCTATTAAACAATTCAGCAATATCATGTTGGTCGGACCACCAGAAATGGGTTTTACACATTGTACCCATGTGGGGAATCGAACTCGGGTCTGTGGCGTGACCAGCAAACGCTTTAACCACTATGCCAACACTGCCCCTGCATCTAATTTTAGAAGTGAAATGTGTGCTCAGTAATGATGTTTTGACTGAATTGGTTGATAAATGCGTATAGGAATTCGATGCCAGCTGCATCTTTTTGTGTTTTGTTTCGATACCTTGGGAGCAAATCATGTACGTTAGGTGTAGACATTTATGTTGATTGTAGTTAATGTGTTCACACTTCGTATACCCTGTCACATCCAGACATCAATAGTGGCCCACTTCTCCACAGACAGATCTCCCACTGGCCTTAAATTTTTAAGCCATCACAGCAGTCAGCTGATATGCATCTGGGGATGAGTCAGGTGGTGCAGAGTTTATACGACATATACTGCAGCCTGCCTGCACATTGCTGTTACGCCTAGTTAGGTCCACATTACAGGATTCAGGCAGAGTCCTCTGAGGGCAGATATATGTAGGGGCATAATTGGAGCATACATGAACACCTTGATATTTGATATTTACATTAACACCATGATATTTGAGATGTACATGAATACCATGATATTTGTGAATTACATAAACACCTTGATATTTGAACATACATGAACACCATGATATTTGAGATTTACATGAACACCTTGATATTTGAGATTTACATGAACACCATGATATTTGAGATTTACATGAACACCTTGATATTTGAGATTTACATGGACACCATGATATTTGAGATTTACATGAACACCTTGATATTTGAGATTTACATGAACACCATGATATCTGAGATTTACATGGACACCGTAATATTTGTGAATTACATGAACACCTTGATATTTGAGATTTACATGAACACCTTGATATTTGAGATTTACATGAACACCATGATATTTGAGATTTACATGGACACCTTGATATTTGAGATTTACATGAACACCATGATATTTGAGATTTACATGGACACCTTGATATTTGAGATTTACATGAACACCTTGATATTTGAGATTTACATGGACACCTTGATATTTGAGATTTACATGAACACCTTGATATTTGTGACTTACATGAACACCGTAATATTTGAGACTTACAGGAATACCATGATGTTTGAGACTTACTGAACACCATAATATTTGAGACTTACAGGAATACCATGATGTTTGAGACTTACTGAACACCATAATATTTGAGACTTACAGGAATACCATGATGTTTGAGACTTACTGAACACCGTAATATTTGAGACTTACAGGAATACCATGATGTTTGAGACTTACTGAACACCATAATATTTGAGACTTACAGGAATACCATGATGTTTGAGACTTACTGAACACCATAATATTTGAGACTTACAGGAATACCATGATGTTTGAGACTTACTGAACACCATAATATTTGAGACTTACAGGAATACCATGATGTTTGAGACTTACTGAACACCATAATATTTGAGACTTACAGGAATACCATGATGTTTGAGACTTACTGAACACCATAATATTTGAGACTTACAGGAATACCATGATGTTTGAGACTTACTGAACACCGTAATATTTGAGACTTACAGGAATACCATGATGTTTGAGACTTACTGAACACCGTAATATTTGAGACTTACAGGAATACCATGATGTTTGAGACTTACTGAACACCATAATATTTGAGACTTACAGGAATACCATGATGTTTGAGACTTACTGAACACCGTAATATTTGAGACTTACAGGAATACCATGATGTTTGAGACTTACTGAACACCGTAATATTTGAGACTTACATGAATACCATGATATTTATGAATTACATTAACACCTTGATATTTGAGCATACATGAACACTGTGATGTGTGAGACTTTCATGAACACCGAAATACAGTGATATTTTTTATATACTTAAACACAGTGATCTTTGAGACATGCACAGTAGTAATTTCAACACAATGTACTGAGATTTGTGAGAGACCTCCGTGACTAGACGGGTATTGTGCTGTACACTGCCGAGTTAGATAGTTTCAAGGGTTCAAATTCCTTGTATTAAACATTGTACGGTGCCAGTGGAACATGGCATGGTTATAATAGGATCTTAGTTCTGTAAGGGCATGCTTGGTTATCACATTTGGTTTAATCAGAGTACCTTGTGATGTTTGTAAGGGAAGCCAGTGATAAACGTACATTTACACATGTAAACTGGGACCTGTGAAGATCTGGGGTAGAATAGGTCGTCAGCAACCCATGCTTGCCTTAAAAGGCGACTATGCTTGTCATAAGAGGCAATTATAGGAATTGGGTGGTCAGGCTAGCTGACTTGGTCGATGCATGTCATTGTATCCCAGTTACGTGGATCGATGCTCATGATGTTGATCACTGGATTGTCTTGTCCGGACTCGATTATTTACAGACCACCGTCATATAGGTGAAATATTGCAGAGTGCAGCGAACAAAAAAACAAAAAAACACGTAAACATCCATACAAGTGCCTGTGGCACACTTACAAGGAAGTATATTCAACAGATACAGGAAGTGTAGGAGAGGTTCAGGCTGTTATCTCCGCTCCACTCCCAGGTCAAACATGAAGGCTTCCTTACTCAAGTCAACACATGGCATGGGGTGTTTTCTGAAATTCCTATGTCACTGGCTGTGTGTTTGTAATGTGATGACATCACGTTCTGTTGTGGCATATTGTTGTATAAGGTAGAAAAGCTGTTAACATTGCCCATTGTGATCAACTGTACTACAGGTACTTATGCTATGAAGAAAGAATCAAAAAGCATGTACATAGGGGGCGTCACATAGCTGGAATATTGCTGAGTGTGGTGTGAACAACAAACAAACAAATTATCATGATTTTGAACAGTAAACATTATTCCGCAATATCACTGTGACAGTGAGGAGACCAAAGTATACAGAACTACCTGGACAAGTTGGCTCTACTCCGTCATGTACTGTTGCCCTTGGTTTCAGGGCCACTTTGGTTTTAGTAACAGTGAGGAGCTGGACCAAAGTATACAGAACTACCTGGACAAGTTGGCTCTACTCTATCATGTACTGTTGTCCTTGGTTTCAGGGCCACTTTGGTTTAAGCAGCAGTGAGGAGCCGGACCAAAGTATACAGAACTACCTGGACAAGTTGGCTCTACTCTATCATGTACTGTTGTCCTTGGTTTCAGGGCCACTTTGGTTTTAGTAACAGCGAGGGGCTGGACCTGGCTATAGAGAACTGCCTGGACAAGTTGGCTCTACTCTATCATGTACTGTTGTCCTTGGTTTCAGGGCCACTTTGGTTTAGTAGCCGTGAGGAGCTGGACCTGGCTATAGAGAACTGCCTGGACAAGTTGGCTCTACTCTATCATGTACAGTTGTCCTTGGTTTCAGGGCCACTTTGGTTTAAGCAGCAGTGAGGAGCTGGACCTGGCTATAGAGAACTTCCTGGACAAGTTGGCTCTACTCTATCATGTACTGTTGTCCTTGGTTTCAGGGCCACTTTGGTTTAAGCAGCAGTGAGGGGCTGGACCTGGCTATAGAGAACTGCCAGGACAAGTTCGCTCTACTCTATCATGTACTGTTGCCCTTGGTTTCAGGGCCACTTTGGTTTGAGCAGCAGTGAGGAGCTGGACCTGGCTATAGAGAACTGCCTGGACAAGTTGGCTCTACTCTATCATGTCCTGTAACAACATATTTTCCTTGGTTTCAGGGCCACTTTGGTTTGAGCAGCAGTGAGGAGCTGGACCTGGCTATAGAGAACTGCCTGGACAAGTTGACTTTACTCTATCATGTACTGTTGCCCTTGGTTTCAGGGCCACTTTGGTTTTAGTAGCAGTGAGCGGCTGGACCTGGCTATAGAGAACTGCCTGGACAAGTTGGCTATACTCTATCATGTACTGTTGTCCTTGGTTTCAGGGCCACTTTGGTTTAAGCAGCAGTGAGGAGCTGGACCTGGCTATAGAGAACTGTGTGGAACTCATCAGGTTGGCGCCGCACAACTCTGACAAACAGAAGAACCTCATCCGGAAACTGGTGCAGCTGAGGATGAAGAAACAAGAACTGAAAGTAAGATACTTTGTATTTCTTGTAGGAGGTGGCGGTGATGTGGGCGTTGGCGTGGGCGTGGGCATGGGCGTGGGCGTGGCTTGTGTTTGGCATAGATGGGTTTTGTCAAGTGTTGGTCTCGAGTAGGGCTCCAGTGGGTCCAACTGTTGAACTCGTACCTGGGGGTTGAAACTCGATTTGGGTGGCAGGGTAGCCTAGTGGGTAAGGTGTTCACTTGACACGCCAAAGACCTGTGTGCAATTCTCGACATGAGTACAATGTATGGAGCCCATTCCTGGTGTCCCCTGCCGTGATACTGCTTTATATTCTATTGTGCAGCCATCGTAGATATTCTTGACTACCACTTATAATAAAAAAGTATAAGAACAATAATCTTATCTACTTTGGCAAAATACTTGCCGCAGCCATAGGCCTGAGCGACTATCGGGGTAAATCTCATGGATTGATAAGACATATATTTGCATCTTAGGTGATTCAATTTGTTGTGCAGGGGGGCATGGGTGGTCAAGTTGTCTAAGAAGCCATGATTTACTGTGCAGAGTTGCATCCCTTGGTCACGCCAGAAACCTATGATTGTGGGTTCGAATCCTGGTGTTTCTAGGTTTGTCAGCCCCATACCTGTGCTTGTGGGTTTTACCGAAGCGGTAAACGTCTGAGACCTGCATCACTTTGGGATTTCCTCCCAATTAAGCTGACATGCTGTGATATAACTGGAATACTGTTGAAAGCGGTGTTAAACCCAACTCACTCACTCACTCATGGTTGTGCAGAATTGTGTCCCTTAGGCATGCCATAAACCTATTATCATGGGTTCGAATCCCAGTTCACCCTTACTATGTTTCTAGGTAAACGTATTAGGTCTGCATCTCTTTGGGCTTTCTTTCCTCATCAAGCTGACCCACCATGATATATCTGAAATACTACTTGAAGCAGCATTAAACCTCACTCACTCACTCACTCACTCACTCACTCACTCACTCACTCACTCACTCACTCACTCACTCACTCACTCACTCACTCACTCACCCAACCACCCACCCACCCACCCACCCTCACTCTCACTCACTCACTCACTCACTCACTCACTCACTCACTCACTCACTCACTCACTCACTCACTCACTCACTCACCCAACCACCCACCCACCCACCCACCCTCACTCTCACTCACTCACTCACTCACTCACTCACTCACTCACTCACTCACTCACTCACTCACTCACTCACCCACCCACCCACTCACTCACTCACTCACTCACCCACTCACTCTGTCTCTTGTTTTGTTTTCCAGGAGGGTTCAGAGCCTGTCTCCCCGGATGTGAAGGTTGTGGTCGGACACAAGTTCCGAGAGAAGACAAGTCGGAGCTCCAAACACTACTGTGAGAAGTGTAACGCCGTCATCTGGGGAATGGTCCAGGCATGGTATAAATGTATAGGTAAGGCTGGAGGAGGGCTATAGCAGGTGATCTTAAAGTAACAGGATTCTTGGAGAATATATGTGAGTAGGTTTTAGGTGTGGTAGTATTTGACTGAGTGACCATTTGTTTTTCTGGTGATGGCTGACATGGCTGAAATAAACTGATCTAGCTGTTCTGACGTGACCTGTAATGGGATGTCCTCCAATCTTTGTTTAGAGGTGAGATGATTTTAATGAGATTAAGCTAAAATGCAGCTTATGCATCACAGCATAAGACTTTCAGATTAAGAATTACAACTCCGTTTCAGAGGAGTGGCATTTTCGCATGACAAGGGAGTTAACTGATTGTAAAAGGCTTGATGGTAGTGCCACCAGTGGCTATTACAAATAATGACCCTTCTATGTCCCTCCTATTGACCAATCAGATTCCACCACTCATATCACTTGCAATTGCTTCAAACAAAATGGTGGAGCCCAGTCAATACTATCTGATCGATAATCAAAATCTATATCTGTAAAAATGGGTCTGACTTCGTGAAGTGCATCAAATCAGGTGAGCACCTTGACGCACATGAAAAGATTTGGAAAATATCTGTTGACGCCGAGTTGGCGGTACACATGCTTTACAAATCCTGCAATCGACTGAAATCTTCTCAGCAGTTTACAAACCGGATGTCGATGTTATTACGCGATTTTGATTGGACTAGACTCATTAGTCAAGCTGAAAACTCAATATATCCAGCCTAGTTCGGCAAGGGTGGAAACTGGACTTTTATAGTCAGTTAACTCCCTTGCCTCAGGAAGATTGTGAGTGAAGAAGGGTGAATGGAAATCCAAAAAAGAAAGTCCTACTCTTTTAATAAGCCATGATGTGAGTTTGATGAAGTGAACCTTTCTTTCCAGACTGCGGCTACAGCTGCCATGCCAAGTGCCTCATCCTCATCACCAGGACATGTGCAAAACAGCGGGTGAGTCGGCTGTTGCCGTAACATACAGGAGGTACCTCTATTGTCTTCCCCCTGGGGATTTCCGTGTACCAGGCTGCTGTCCGGGGTATAGTGGATAGACCGTCTGTACAGAGATCAATGGTTCGACCATGTACACATCATACCAAAAATGTTAATCGTATGGTACTTGTTGTTACCATGTCTGGCGCTTGGCATTAAGGGGAAAAAACAAGAACTGGTCAGATTGGATTCAGTTTCTGATGGGGGCACGGGTGGCCCAGTTGTCTAAGGCGCCACAATTTGCTGTCCCTTGGCCATGATAGAAACCTATGATTGTGGGTTCGAATCCCAGTTCGCCCCGATTATGTTTCTAGGTTTGTCAGCACCATACCCATGCTCATGGGTTTCACCGAAGTGGTAAACGTCTGAGATCTGCATCACTTCGGGCTTTCCTCCAACATTAAGCTGATACACCGTGATATAACTGGAATAGTGTTAAAAGTGGCGTTAAACCCAACTCACTCACTCACTCTGAGAGGGGCATGTGTTTCACCTCACCTCGTAACACAATGGTTCCCCATGCTAGGGGTTAACCGTTACATAGTGCACCGGTGCATTGTGAGTTTTCATGAGGCAATACACTGCATCATGTGCTGTATCGTTTCACACCTACCCCATCCCTATAGTAGGTGAGGTGAAATTGGGTTTAACGCCGCGTCCAAGATTATTGCACTTATATAGCGACGTGCATGCACGTGTGTGTGTGTGTGTGTGGCTGCTTGTACTAGTCCGGACTAATGCTGATTTATAGTGCTAGCTCACTGAGATACCATGCCGCAGTTTAACATGAATACCCCACTCAGACACAGTATACTGACTTAGAGCCGACCGGTCCTTGTTTTAGCCCCTTAATGCCGAGCACCAGACAGGATAACAACAAGTACCATCTTTTAACGCCTTTTGGTATGACGCAGCCGGGGATCTAAGCCCGGACCTTCCCCTCTCCGGGCGGACGCTCTGCCACTAGACCATGGAGGCGGTCCATCCCTATAGTAAGATAGCAGTGAAGGATATGGTGGTTAGGATGTGTGACCTGGCTGATTGCGCCGTGACCTTGTGGATCCCTGACCGTGTACATGTCATAGATAATTACAAGTTTGTATCATGGGTTTGATGGAATCTACACAGGAAGTAATTTTTTTTTTAGTGATATCAGGACATGAAATGTTAATAATGTATGATATCAATTTCAAGATAGTTAATCTTAATATATCTGTTATATTTCCTTGTTTTATGTGTCTTGGGTGTGAACAAGTTTGAGTTTTCTTCCTGCCTAAGAAAAATAGAGAAGAGAAAAGAAAACACCTGGTGAAAAAAGGTTTTGCTTTATTTCAGGACTTCCCTGTTGTTTTAATGAATTTTGAAAAAGAGTGTCTGTTGTTGCAGGTGCTGGAGAACCCGTCCTACTGTCTGTCCATCTGCCCCCAGAAGGGCCTGGCCTCACAGAACTACCGATGTGCCGAGTGCAAGTCTTCCTTGTCATTCAGTAAGATTTGCATTGGTGCTCCAGTAACGATGTTGTCTTACAGCAAGGCTCCAGATTATGTTTGGAGTATTTACTCACATGTTGTCGTTCACATTGGGTATTAATTTTTTTTTTCGGGGGGGGGGTTGTGTGTGGAGGGGGGTCAATAATCATGTACTCTTGGGTGCAGTGTGTTAGGTTGAGTTGAAATTTTTAAAGATAATTCTACTTCTTTGCTATTACTTCTTTGAGAGGCATTTAGAAGTTGGAGTACTAAGTAAGGATAAGATATCTGGATGAACAACTTCTTTATTACAACTAGGAGGGATGTTTTGGTGCAGATTCTAACTTGGTTATCAAGCAAGAATAAGGCTGACGAGTATGTTTCCCTTTTGTTTATAGGGTATTTTCTTGCATATTGTGTGCACATTTTTTCCCAAAAACACAGCTGTGTAGATGGGGGTGCGCATTATACACGGCATAATGAGTTTTGATGTTTTTTACCCCCAATGCAAAGACATTACCGGAAATACCATGTCAACAAATCCGTACTAAAGTACGCAAATTAATCATGTAATTACACTGGTTTTTTTTAAAGTGTTCTTTGTATATCTTCACGTATGTTTGTAACTTATTTCATTAATTTTATTCAAAATTCCTTTTAATATTGTTTTGTTTAATTTTAGCGAAATCGTGTGTGAAGTGATCGGAAGATCGCACAACTCACCGTTATTAACAGCAACCACGGTCAGATTACCACTATTGATGCCTTGATACAAACTTTAGTCGACAGAGAATGGATACATACATCATAAATGCCATACTTTGACTCGTTAAAAGTCATATTTGTTGTATTTTGACGATTGTATGTCAACACATAGTTCTCGCGATCATGTGCACGGGAGCCTTGACGGTGACTGGTTCCATGTGAAAAAAAGTACTACTGGCTTCACCTGTTGTGATGTTTACCTTATATCACCCTTTTTGTGTCCATAACAGGCATCTCCACTCCAGTGTTACTACATCCCAATCTATTGAAGTGTAAACACTGCCTCATACCTGTAATTTATGCTTGTCAAACATACTGTACATCACTTGCTTGATAACGGTGTTAGAACCTACACCAAAACGTTGCTCCTAATCATAATAAAGAAGTTATTCATCAATATATTTTATCCTTACTGTCTATGCTGTTTTAGGTAACTTCTGTGTTTGTGTTTCAGAGTCAGGAGCTGCGGAGCCTCGGCTGTGTGATTACAGCGGCAACTACTACTGCGAGCTGTGTCACTGGAACGACCAGATGACCATACCAGGCCGGGTGCTTCACAACTGGGACTTCCTGCCTCGTAAGGTAAGGCCACCCATTTTTATTTTTTTTATTTTTCATTTCACGGGCTGCCTCCCCTACTGAAAAGCTGCCAGTATAAGAAATAAATTAAACATAAAAATATTTATTTTTATTATGTCCCCTGCTCATAATATAGACCCTCTTATATATAAAATGTTATATATAAAATCCATGTCTACATCACTATTCGTGATTCAAGACGCCACCAGCAAATCCACTGCAGAATTCTTTTCTTAAAAGACCACCTCTGTGGTCTAGTGGTAGAGCGTCCGCCCGGAGAGCGGAAGGTCCAGGGTTTGATCCCCGGCCGCATCATACCAAAAGACATTAAAAGACGGTACTTGTTGTCACCCTGTCTGACGCTTGGCATTAAGGGGCTAAAACAAAGACTGGTCGGCTCGGAGTCAGTATACTGTCTGAGTGCGGTATTCATGTTAAACTGCGGCATGGTATCTCAGTGAGCTAGCACTATAAATCGGCATCAGTACAGACTAGTACAAGCAGCCACACAAACACACACACGTACATGCACATCGCTATATAAGTGCAATAATCTTGGACGCGACGTTAAACCCCATTTCACCTCACCTTTTCTTAAAAATATATAAATTATTGACGTTTTTTTTATACTTTTGTTTTGACCTACTTTTTGTGACAAAGCTGGAATAAATCTGTGAAACATAAAATTATATAAGTGTGACCTAAGTCCTGTGGAGAATTTCATAGTTTGGCATCAACAGACCAACTATAGATTGCAAATATACTGCTTCCGGCTATGTTTACCACACAATACACATGGTAATCTTAATGTTTGGCCAGGTGAGAATTGTAGGCAAAACAGTCCCCAGTATCCAATGCTTGTCAGACAATCAGAACTGCTACCTATTGTCAATATTAATAACAAGACAATTTGTCCTCTGTAACATGTGTGTCACTGTTCCCAAACAGCACAGATTAATAGTCCTAGACACAGTAATATTTTCCTGTTTGGGGATTTCTGGGCTAGGGTAGGAACATTGTGCCCCTTGCGTCTCCACAGAACAGTGGTCAGAATGGCTGATGTGTGCAGTGGCTGATGTGTGCAGTGGCTGATGTGTGCAGTGGCTGATGTGTGCTGTGGCTGATGTGTGCAGTGGCTGATGTGTGCAGTGGCTGATGTGTGCAGTGGCTGATGTGTGCAGTGGCTGATGTGTGCAGTGGCTGATGTGTGCAGTGGCTGATGTGTGCAGTGGCTGATGTGTGCAGTGGCTGATGTGTGCAGTGGCTGATGTGTGCAAGCTCGTTAAGATCCAATCATTGTGCTTCGATACCTTTCTCTCTGCAAGGAGCTGCTGGGGTAGCCGAGTGGTTTAAGAGTTTGCTCATTATGCCGAAAGCCTGGGTTGCAATGTGTGAAGTCCATTTCTGTTATCCCCCGATGTGATATTGCTGGAATATTGCTAAAAGTGGTGTAAAACCATACTCACTTTCTTCAAGACTTGAAAAACCCTACAAGATGCAAAGTGTTTGTATGACAATGTGTGTGAGAGTACACCGCTGACAATGGGTTTGAATACACCACTGACAATGTGTGAGTACACCACTGACAATGTGTGTGAGTACACTGCTGACAATGTGTGAGTACACCACTGACAATGTGTGTGAGTACACTGCTGACAATGTGAGAGTACACCGCTGACAATGTGTGTGAATACACCACTGACAATGTCTGAGTACACCACTGACAATGTGTGTGAGTACACCACTGACAATGTGTGAGTACACCACTGACAATGTGTGTGAGTACACTGCTGACAATGTGTGAGTACACCACTGACAATGTGTGAGAGTACACCACTGACAATGTGTGTGAGTACACCACTGACAATGTGTGTGAGTACACCACTGACAATGTGTGAGTTCACCACTGACAATGTTTGAGAGTACACTGCTGACAATGTGTGACAGTACACCACTGACAATGTGTGAGAGTACACCACTGACAATGTGTGAGAGTACACCACTGACAATGTGTGTGAGTACACCACTGACAATGTGTGAGTTCACCACTGACAATGTGTGAGAGTACACTGCTGACAATGTGTGAGTACACCACTGACAATGTGTGAGAGTACACCACTGACAATGTGTGAGAGTACACCACTGACAATGTGTGTGAGTACACCACTGACAATGTGTGTGAGTACACTGCTGACAATGTGTGAGAGTACACCACTGACAATGTGTGAGAGTACACCACTGACAATGTGTGAGAGTACACCACTGACAATGTGTGAGAGTACACCACTGACAATGTGTGAGAGTACACCACTGACAATGTGTGTGAGTACAACACTGACAATGTGTGAGAGTACACCACTGACAATGTGTGAGAGTACACCACTGACAATGTGTGAGTACACCACTGATAATGTGTGAGAGTACACTGCTGACAATGTGTGAGAGTACACCACTGACAATATGTGAGTACACCACTGACAATGTGTGAGAGTACACCACTGACAATGTGTGAGAGTACACCACTGACAATGTGTGTGGGTACACCACTGACAATGTGTGAGAGTACACCACTGACAATGTGTGAGAGTACACCACTGACAATGTGTGAGAGTACACCACTGACAATGTGTGTGAGTACAACACTGACAATGTGTGAGAGTACACCACTGACAATGTGTGAGAGTACACCACTGACAATGTGTGAGTACACCACTGATAATGTGTGAGAGTACACTGCTGACAATGTGTGAGAGTACACCACTGACAATATGTGAGTACACCACTGACAATGTGTGAGAGTACACCACTGACAATGTGTGAGAGTACACCACTGACAATGTGTGAGAGTACACTGCTGACAATGTGTGAGAGTACACTGCTGACAATGGTTGAGAGTTCACCACTGACAATGTGTGAGAGTACACCACTGACAATGTGTGAGAGTACACCACTGACAATGTGTGAGTACACTTCTGACAATGTGTGCGAGTACACCACTGACAATGTGTGAGAGTACACTGCTGACAATGTGTGAGACTACACTGCTGACAATGTGTGAGAGTACACCACTGACAATGTGTGAGAGTTCACCACTGACAATGTGTGAGAGTACACTACTGACAATGTGTGACAGTACACTGCTGACGATGTGTGAGAGTACACCACTGACAATGTGTGAGAGTACACTGCTGACAATGTGTGACAGTACACTGCTGACAATGTGTGAGAGTACACCACTGACAATGTGTGAGAGTACACCACTGACAATGTGTGAGAGTACACCACTGACAATGTATGAGAGTACACCACTGACAATGTGTGAGAGTACACTGCTGACAATGTGTGAGAGTACACCACTGACAATGTGTGAGAGTACACCACTGACAATGTGTGAGAGTACACTGCTGACAATGTGTGAGTACACTGCTGACAATGTGTGAGAGTACACTGCTGACAATGTGTGAGTACACCACTGACAATGTGTGAGAGTACACTGCTGACAATGTGTGAGAGTACACCACTGACAATGTGTGAGAGTACACCACTGACAATGTGTGACAGTACACTGCTGACAATGTGTGACAGTACACCACTGACAATGTGTGAGAGTACACTGCAGACAATGTGTGAGTACACCACTGACAATGTGTGAGAGTACACTGCTGACAATGTGTGAGAGTACACCACTGACAATATGTGAGAGTACACCACTGACAATGTGTGAGAGTACACCACTGACAATGTGTGAGAGTACACTGCTGACAATGTGTGAGTACACCACTGACAATGTGTGAGAGTACACTGCTGACAATGTGTGAGAGTACACTGCTGACAATGGTTGAGAGTTCACCACTGACAATGTGTGAGAGTACACCACTGACAATGTGTGAGAGTACACCACTGACAATGTGTGAGTACACTGCTGACAATGTGTGCGAGTACACCACTGACAATGTGTGAGACTACACTGCTGACAATGGTTGAGAGTTCACCACTGACAATGGTTGAGAGTTCACCACTGACAATGTGTGAGAGTTCACCACTGACAATGGTTGAGAGTTCACCACTGACAATGTGTGAGTACACTGCTGACAATGTGTGAGTTCACCACTGACAATGTGTGAGAGTACACCACTGACAATGTGACTACCTTTGACACTCCAGGTGTGTCGGGCGTCCAAGCAGTACCTGAAGCTGATGGCCAGCAAGGCTGCGATCCGCATCCAGGACATCAACCCAATGCTGTTCAACTTCGTGGAGGAACTCAGTGAAATCAAGGTAGGCGGGACGTCATTGATGATTCATGTGTTATCTTTAGGCCAGTAAATGTGTCATTCAGTTTAATCCCTCATGAACTCTTTCATGTGCCAGGATCCAAGGCTTATGGGTTTGAATCCCTGATTATGATCCTTGCTTTGTCAGAACCATATCTGTGATCTGCATTACTTTAAACTTTGCTCTCACATTAAGCTGTCAAGCTGTGTTATGACTGACACCCAATAAACCAACTCATTCAATCACTCTTATACTTCCTGCAATACCTGATTTGTAGCTGTAATTGTAAAAAACATATTCACCATGTTAAACGCCCTTTTCCAATAAGAATGTAAAATGAATGATAATCTAAAGATTTATTTGCACCCTCCTCGTCAGATGTAACATTTACTCCAAATGAAGTTTTGAATGATGTAATGATAATTGGTCATGGTAAACTTTTAAGATTTATACTCACCGATAAAATAACCCGCATATACCGTATATCGCTGTGTATAAGGCGACCCCACGTATAAGACGACTCCCCTGTACACGCCTTAAAAATCAACCCAAAATCCTATACTCCGTGTATAAGGCGACCGGGAATGAAACACATCACAAGTCTGACTGATATAGAAGATTTAACGTGCGCTTTCCGACTGTAGCGTATTTCGCACACGGACATCACAAGTTAGTTTATTAGTTAGTTACTTTTGAGATTTAACGTGCGCTTTCCGACTGATGCGTATTTCGCACACATCACAAGTGCACACAAACCTTATATATGCAATAAAAATATGTTTATCTTGCGTTGTTTTTTTTCTACAATGATAGGTCGCGTGTGCAACTCCAGCACACGTCGCCATTTTGTTTTTACACGGTACGACACCAAATTGGTGCCCGTAAAATAAAATTCATTTATGAAGTAATAACATATAAGAGACAATGGTGAGTAATTTAATCGTCAATTAACTATGTTGGAACTAACTAGGCTTATGTTTGCTTCACATTCAGCGTGTGTATTCCACAATCACTTGTACACACCGTCTCTAACACTTGTTAATACAACTGTAAAAACAGCGGGAATTGATTTCAGCTTCACCGGTTATCACATGTTAGGTCACATGTGCAATATGCAAATGCTTACCGGTACTTCCGGCTCTCTGCTCACGGATGTTGATTGTTTTACCGTGTCAGGTGGTTTGACAATCTGCATCGAGGCGAGGGTCATTTCAACTTTATTTGCAGAAATTATTAAACCTTATTCAAGGAAAAGAGATACAAATCATGTTTATGTATGGAAATATTTATTGGAACAGTTATTTAGGACGAAATGCGAAGTTTTATTGTCAAATGCTTGGCTGGCTATCGGACGCCAGTTGACATCGCCAGTGGAAAAAAATGTGAGATCTTCGACTCCGTGTATAAGACGACCCCCCTTCTTAGCCCCCTCATTTTAGGTACGAAAAACTCGCCTTATACACAGCGATATACGGTACCATGTATGTTGGTTAATGTTTGAACAATTACTCATAATCAAGAGATATTAGATTGGTTTGACGCACAAATGAACATACTAGTATGTTTTGTGATCGTATGCTCATAAATGCATCACATGTCACGGCATAGATCCATGACTCGAGATGCACCATTTGTGTTGTGCAGGATTTGCGTGTAAAGTTTGAAAATCTCGTGCAGCATATCGTAATTTGAAAAAAGTCACTCTGTAGTAAAATTTGACTGATTGATGGTTTTATCATTAAGTTGTACACATTGGAAACATCTCTTCTTAACATACATACTTCTCTATATGTTTCTATGGTTTGCGTTTCTTTTGGCAGTGAGTATATATAGAATCAGTTTTACCTGTTGCCAACTAACTTTAATGTACTGAAGATCACAACAATGGCATCCATGAAACTGCCTTCATGGCAGCCATAGGCGTTGGTTGAGCTTCAGAGTCTTGTGACTGTTCCATCAGAATATGGCCCAGATGACACAACGATGATATCTTGAGTCAAGGTTGTTTATTCGGTTATATACTTGATAACAAGACATGTGTGTGAGCACACAGCAGCACTCTCAACCAGACAAATTTCTAACTGTCATTCCCAGCAACCTACCTCCCTTATGTCACATATACTATCCCATAGAACATGACTTACCAGTATGTTACCCTGACGACATCGAATGCGATCACTCACTGGCCGCCCCTTGAAAGGAGACTTGCTCACGCGAGATCTCGGTATATTTTTGTCACTTTTAATATACTACTCAAAAGAAGTTAAGGACCACTTGATTCTTTCATATTACTACAGTTAATCTGGCATGCCATGATGTATTAACTATAGTAATATGAAAGAATCAGGTGGGCCTTAACTTCTTTTGAGTAGTATATTTAACATGACTATTGTGACTATCATGAAGATGCTGTTTGTGCTGTTACAGAAGCTGCGAGAGGAGATGCTGGTGATGAAGAAGTACATCCTGCTGTGTCCCAGCGCCATGAAGTCCAAGCTGCTGCTGCTTGTGCAGACTCGGCAGCACTTCGTAGAGAGCTCCGACATCTACAGCATGAAGGACCTGATGGACATCCAGACAGACACGCTGCTGTCGGAACTAGCCCAGGTCCACTCGGCATGGGCACAGCACATCAAGACAGACTGTGAGGTAAGACCTGTGGACAGACAGACAGACAGACAGACAGACAGGCTGCTGTTGGAACTAGCCCAGGTCCACATGGCATGGGCACAGCACATCAAGACAGACTTTGAGGTAAGACCTGTGGACAGACAGACAGACAGACAGACAGACAGACACGCTGCTGTCAGAACTAGCCCAGGTCCACATGGCATGGGCACAGCACATCAAGACAGACTGTGGGGTAAGACCTGTGGACAGACAGACAGACAGACAGACATGCTGCTGTCGGAACTAGCCCAGGTCCACTCGGCATGGGCACAGCACAGCACATCAAGACAGACTGTGAGGTAGGACCTGTGGACAGACAGACAGACAGACAGACAGACACGCTGCTGTTTGCACTAGAGCAGGTCCACTCAGCATGGGCACAAGACATCAAGACTGTGTCCCCCTTACAGTGGCGGCTCCAGAGGAGTGTGTGAGTGTGTGTGTGGGGGGGGACCCAGCCCCACTGAAGTTACAAATGGTCCAAGTGGAACCCCCATTTTTCTGAAATCCTGGATCCCCCCTGCCCTATATGATCCATGATGGTAGTTGACGCTGTACCCTACATGTCAGTGAGGAGCAGAAGGAAAACAAAAATCTCTGGTGTTTTACAAAGAAACATGAGGGACAAATATTTAAGTAGTTACAAATGTTGTCCATCAAATGAAATGATCAGTGTTAGTCTGTTTCTACACTGTTGGCTCAGCTTGTGTTAAAGTGTCTTGTTGTGTCTCCCCAGCTGTGCCAGGCTCGAGGCTTCTTCTGTGAGATGTGCGAGGAAAAGGAGGTGCTGTTTCCGTTCGATAACATCGCCGTGGTCTGTTCCCAGTGCTCCAATGTCATACACAGGTATGTGTTTAGTGTCATACACAGGTATGTGTTTAGTGTCATACACAGGTATGTGTTAAGTGTCATACACAGGTATGTGTTTAGTGTCATACGCAGGTATGTGTTTAGTGTCATACACAGGTATGTGTTTAGTGTCATACACATGGATTGTAGTTTCATATGAAGGTTTGTTTTTAGCGTCATAGTCAGGTAATGTATTGTTCATACATAGGGATTGTAATGTCATACACAGGTAAATGTCATGTCATACACAGGTAAATGTCATGTCATACACAGGGATTCTAATGTCATACACAGGTAAATGTTATGTCATACACAGGGATTTTAATGTCATACACAGGGATTTTAATGTCATACACAGGGATTGTAATGTCATACACAGGTCATACACAGGGATTGTAATGTCATACACAGGGATTGTAATGTCATACACAGGGATTGTAATGTCATACACAGGTAAATGTCATGTCATGCACAGGTAAATGTAATGTCATACACAGGGATTTTAATGTCATACACAGGGATTTTAATGTCATACACAGGTAAATGTTATGTCATAAACAGGGATTTAATGTCATACACGGGGATTTTAATGTCATACACGGGGATTGTAATGTCATACACAGGGATTGTAATGTCATACACAGGTCAATATGTCATACACAGGGATTGTAATGTCATACACAGGTAAATGGCATGTCATACACAGGGATTTTAATGCCATACACAGGTAAATGTTATGTAATACACTGGGATTTTAATGTCATACACAGGGATTTTAATGTCATACACAGGGATTGTAATGTCATACACAGGGATTTTAATGTCATACACAGGGATTGTAATGTCATACACAGGGATTTTAATGTCATACACAGGTCAATGTCATGTCATACACAGCTAAATGTCTTGTCATACACAGGGATTGTAATGTCATTGACATGGTCATGTATTGTGATGATACTGTAGTAATTTGTTATCTTCCCGAGGCAAGGGAGTTAACTGACAGTAAAAGTCCAGTTTCCACCCATGCCGAACTAGGCTGGTATTTCATGGCTGGACCATAGCTCCACCAGCGGCTATTATGAATTATGTCCCTTCTATGTCCCTCCTTTTGACCAGGGCGGTCGGGTAGCCTAGTGGTTAAAGCGTGCGCTCGTCACGCCGAAGACCCGGTTTCGATTCCCGACATGGGTACAATGTGTGAAGCCCATTTCTGGTGTCCCCCGCCGTGATATTGCTGGAATATTGCTAAAAGCGGCGTAAAACCATATTCACTCACTCACTCACACTCCTTTTGACCATTAGATTCCATCTCTCATATCACTTGTGTTTGCGTAAAAGTCAAGATGATCTGATTGATAATCTATATTGGGTCTTAATCAGCAAAGTGCTTCAAATCACTTGATCATCTTGATTAAAAACATGTAAAGATTTGCAAAATATTTGCCAACGTCCATTTGACAGTACACATGCTATGCAAATCCTGCATTCAACTGAAATCTGGATGTTGAAATCCATGTTTACGAACTGGGTATCTAGTTCGTTACCCAATTTTGATTGGACTAAGCATAGAATCGTTATTTCAGCCAAAATGTAACTCTGGAATTCCAGCCTGGACATTTATAGTTAGTAAACGCCCTTGCCTCAGGAAGATGGTAATTTATGTGAGAGTAATTAAGATATAGGAGTTGATGTTTCATGAGGCAGTGTGACTGAGAGACACTGAGTGGGGAGGTTTCTGTTTCAGGCACTGTTTTGACAAACAAGGTCAATGTCCACGATGTCAGAGGAGAGACAGACGGAAGGTCAACTGACCTCATCCAGTGACCTTTGACCTGTCTTTTTTGAGGAAATCAACAGTAACATGAACACAAGGTGAGCTGACCTCATCCAGTGTCCACTGACCGGTCAATGTCCACGATGTCAGCGTGACAGACGGGAGTTCAACTGACCTCATCCAGTGTCCACTGACCGGTCAATGTCCACGATGTCAGAGGAGAGACAGAAGGAAGGTCAACTGACCTCATCCAGTGACCTTTGACCGGTCAATGTCCACGATGTCAGCGTAGAGACAGACAGAAGGTCAACTGACCTCATCCAGTGACCTTTGACCGGTCAATGTCCACGATGTCAGCAGAGAGACAGACAGAAGGTCAACTGACCTCATCCAGTGTCCACTGACTGGTCAATGTCCACGATGTCAGCGGAGAGACAGAAGGAAGGTCAACTGACCTCATCCAGTGTCCACTGACCGGTCAATGTCCACGATGTCAGCAGAGAGACAGACAGGTCAACTGACCTCATCCAGTGTCCACTGACCGGTCAATGTCCACGATGTCAGCGGAGAGACAGACAGAAGGTCAACTGACCTCATCCAGTGACCATTGACCGGTCAATGTCCACGATGTCAGCGGAGAGACAGACAGAAGGTCAACTGACCTCATCCAGTGACCATTGACCGGTCAATGTCCACTATGTCAGCGGAGAGACAGACAGAAGGTCAACTGACCTCATCCAGTGTCCACTGACCGGTCAATGTCCACGATGTCAGCGGAGAGACAGACAGAAGGTCAACTGACCTCATCCAGTGTCCACTGACCGGTCGATGTCCACGATGTCAGCGGAGAGACAGACGGAAGGTCAACTGACCTCATCCAGTGACCATTGACCGGTCAATGTCCACAATGTCAGCAGAGAGACAGACAGAAGGTCAACTGACCTCATCCAGTGTCCACTGACTGGTCAATGTCCACGATGTCAGCGGAGAGACAGAAGGAAGGTCAACTGACCTCATCCAGTGACCATTGACCGGTCAATGTCCTCGATGTCAGCGGAGAGACAGACCTTTGGAAGGTCAACTGACCTCATCCAGTGACCTTTGACCTGTCTTTTTTGAGGAAATTAACAGTGAGATGATCACAAGGTGAGCTGACCTCATCCAGTGTCCACTGACAGGTCAATGTCCACGATGTCAGAGGAGAGACAGACAGAAGGTCAACAGATCTCATCCAGCGACCTTTGACCTGTCGTTATTGAGGGCATCTGTGAGAGACAGGTGGATGGTCAACTAGCCTCATCCAGTGCCCATTGGCCAGTCAAAGATTCCAGGCCAGTGTTGGATGCTGAAGTTGTCAGTGTGAACATTGGTGTGAATCAGACGTTGTGTGAACAGAAGGAAGAGACAGGGTGTCTGAGGACAGGGAACTCCAGGTGAAAACAGGGCGCTAGCATGTTAGCTATATATGTGATAAACTACACTTACATTACAAATTGTAAATATACCATATATTTAAGACCTTGATAAATTAGTTGATATATTTTCATCCTTGCTCACCTCTTAAAACATGACAGCCTGTATCTCATCATGTAAAGTGCAACAGGAAGATTGACATGGTGAAGTCAAATCATTGAAAACACAGAGCCCCAATATCAAAAAAATAGTTGGAGGAAAATCTGTTAATTGATTTTTGAGGCCAAAAAATGATGTGATGAGAAGATATGACGCAGGCAACGTTTCATCGAAACATGAAAGATGGGCATTTACTTCATCAGGGACTGGGGTTTGCTTTTGTGTCCAGTATAAACTCTTTCTCTAGTTTTACAAACATGAATTTCTTAATGTTTCATCAATAAGATTTTCGTTCACATTAAGTTTGAACGATAGGCATTGTAGCCATCACATTGTTGCTTGTTCTAGATACAACGTGGAATAAAGTTGCACTGCTTTCTATATATTGCCATATAAGGCTAAAAAATATAATCATCACAAAGCTCCACTTCATTTTCAGTGAGATTTGAACTCTAAACAGGAGAGATCTATTTTGCTGAAATGAACACATTAAAAAAAGATTTAGAAAAACAATTTCCTCCTGATTGAGCATGGGGACCCCACAAAACTTCAAAATTCTAATTCTGCATAGTATCCGTCCTTAGTGTGACCTATCTCAAGTTATCAGTACCAAGTTGTATCACAGTGAGTTACTTCATAAGAGCACATGTCCGTACATATCAATGACAAATATTCATGTCTGTAAAGTGCTCTAGTTATGCATGACTGTATGGTGAACAAAATGTAAATATATTTATTCAAATGTGTATATGTGAAGTTATATTAAATGAATGCTATTTACGTACAATTCTTGTCTTGTTATGGCAGTATGAATGACGAATGTGTGAGTGTAGTGGACCGCCTCCATTGTCTGGTGGAGCATCTCCCTGGAGCAGGAGTGTGAGTGAGTATGGTTTTACGCCGCTTTTAGCAATATTCCAGCAATATCATGGCAGGGGACACCAGAAATGGGCTTCACACATTGTACCCATGTCGGGAATCGAACCCGGGTCTTCGGCGTGACGAGGCAACGCTTTAACCACTAGGCTACCCGACCGCCCCCTGGAGAGCAGGAGGTCAGCGTTCAATCACCACCCGCGTCATACCAAAAGACGTTAAAAGATGGTACTTGTTACACATCCTGTTGTTTGGCATTGAGGGGATAAAACAGGACTGGTCGGCATGGAGTCTGAATATTGTATGTCAGTGGAGTATTCATGTTAAACTGCGACATTGTATCTCAGTGGGCTAGCACTATAGTCAGTCAGTCAGTGAGTGAGGTTTTACGCCGCTTTTAGCAATATTCCAGCTATATCACGGCAGTGGAGACCAGAAATGGGCTTCACACATTGTACCCATGTCGGGAATCGAACCTGGGTCTTCGGCATGACGAGCGAACGCTTTAACCACTAGGCTACCCGATCACCCTGGGCTAGCACTATAAAAACCAGCATCAGTACTTAACTAGTACAAGCCCTCATGCACGCATGACGCAAAATATGTCGTTAATCCCCTATCTCACAGTATAATAGGTCTCAAGAATGGTCAATGTCCCCGTCCAACGACAATCTATGCTCATTACCCAATTACGCTACTATCAGGGTGATTGTGTGCGTGTGTGAGTGAGTGGCTCCTTGTACTAGTCCAGACTAATGCTGTTTTTATTGTGCTAGCTCACTGAGATACCATGCCTCAGTTGGTTGTACTGGTGATGCCCCCCGCTTGTTCCAATCGTTTGTAATTTGATTGGTCAAAGGTGCCTTGCACACCTAAGGGACACAACTCTACACAGACAACAGCAGCACCGTAGACAACTGGGCTACTTGGGCCATCTATGAGAAATAACAATCAACACTTCACAATTGAAAAGATAACAGAATTTTATTTCTTTTCCACAAGATTTGAGTCTTAACATCAGCTCTCAAGCAAATTTCAACTATAAGTTGCCATCAAACTGGTACATACTCACATATATATTGCATGGCTTCAACATACATTTAACATGTGTACAAGATATTTATTCTGCAGTCTTCTCCTTTAAGCTCTAAATCGTGACTATGCAGCCTTTAGTTACATGTGTGCACAGATACTCCTTGATGACAACTGCTCTCACACGTTACACTTCTAAGGTAGCATATCATTAAACAGGAATTTATCTTATTGTATTCTACAAATTAAATGTGTCTTTGAATTTCATCCCTACATTTTTTTTTTTACAAGGAAACACCCTGTGGACCCTCTTTCCATATATGGGTTTTAAAGACTGATTGAATTTTGTACATAAAAATGTGTCGTTTTTTCAAAAATATTCAAATAATCACATTCTGCAGAATTCATCAAAGAGTAACTTGTTATTGAAATGCAAAAGATTATATTAGATTATATTAGCTAATAGAAAATTCTAATAATGAAAATATATTAAATGCCAACTCTCACAAAACGTAACTAATACCATTCCCTAAAAAAACAGGTAGCTGATAAGTAAATGTCGATCATTCATTAAGCATTTTATCATTCATTTTAATGCCTTTCAAAGACCTGATTCATTAAGCATTCTGTAACAGCTGATTGGTAAGTACCCTGGGTGTATCACCAGTCTCTCCTGTGCTGTACCTTCAACAGGCTGTTCAAGGGTACCCTGAGTGGTGACAGGTATTGCAGGTTCATGCAATACTGTCACAATGCAAGATACAATGTTTATAGCACTTCCGGGAATATCACTGACTGGGTATAAACACTAACACTCTCTGAGTATACAAGGGAACCTATGGCAGTCATGGACACAAGCACACACAGCACTGCTATGTCTTCCTTGGTCCAAGCATCATCTGACCTTGTTAAATGAATGACCGGTTCATTTGGGGGAGGGGAGGAGAGAGAGAGAATGTCATATTTTAATTTAGACGAAATTAAGACATACATTTTTTTCTCTCAAAGGAGATTTTTATTTTTCACAGCATATTTTTTTTATATACAAACTCCAGCATTTCAAGCAAACAAATACTTTGTGTGTGTAAAACCTAGGGCAAATTTAAATTTTTCTGAATTTTTTTTAAACAAATAATTATTTTTCAAAAATTCCCATATCATCAAATTGTCAGTCAATAAGAATTACAACCAAGGCTTCATATCTCCATGTATATTATGACATCTGGGCCCACTTGCACAAAGCGATCTTGGCGCTAAGATGATCGTAACTCCCATACGTTAACATAGGCTTACGACAGTCTTAGCGCTAAGATTGCTTTGTGCAAGTGGGCCCTGTAGTGCTAAGGTTCTTGTATATCTGTGGTAATGATCTCTTCACTATTACTGTCGGAACACCTTCACATGGACACGGCTGTCTTAGCACCATCTGTCTCTCTGGAGAGGCGCCGCGATAAAACTTGAATAAAGTTAAAAGCGGCATTAAACCCAACTCACTCACTCTGGAGAGGGGAACCTGAGATTGGGACAGACTATGGGACTGACTCAGAGACGGAGACTTACACAGTAGACAGACTCAGTTGACCGACACTTTCGTTGCAGCACGAGTCTACCTTTCGTAAATTACACTGACTATGGTTGATTTATCCGTCTGGCAGATGATGTTTGGAACAAAATACTTCAGAGAACATTCATTCTTGTAACAAGCACACAACAAAGTATAAAAGACAAAACAGTCTCCCATTGTTCACTCACAGAAACACTTCCAATAAGCTTTCAGTGTTAGACACACAGTACGTCTGTCCACTTTAGTCACAGACTTTGGATTGAAAACAAAGAATTCTGTGTAAAAAGACCTTGAAAACAATGCAGAATTATTGCCATTTCATAGCTGTATTATAAAAAGAAACAAACTGCAGAAAACAGAATCCATATTCTAGGAATTTAATACATACACTGCTGACAAAAGAGCGTGACCTACTGCGTGTTCAACACAAATTGATTATTCTAGATTACATGTGTCTGTACAGACCACAGATGGGGAAGACAGACCAGGGAGAGAGGTCAGCACCAGAACCAGCAGGGCGGGCAAGTAGATGAGTGCATCATCTTCAGGGGTAGACAGGGCAACCAGTGTTCGAAAAATACAAAACAGATTTAAGAATCTGCAGGCCCCAAGAACCACTTCAGGCCCTCATTTAAAAAACTGCAGCTTATCGTGACAAATAAATTGACACGTAAATTTACTGCAAGGACCCGTACAAATTTGAAACTACAGGCCCAACACAAGATATACCTGCCACGGGCCTGCACTTATTTGGAACACTGATGACAACTAGTCCGCTAGTCCAAGATGAGTGAAAATTTAGAAGGATTGGTTGTTTTCTCCCCAAATCTAGTCATGTTACATAGAATAGATGTCCAAAATGACCTGTGGACTAGTGAGATACGACCAAGGGTGTCTACCCCTGATCTTGATGGGAAGACGTAACAACATCCAAAACTGTTTTATAATGAATCTTAGACGAACTCGGCTGCATCAGAGTGAAGCTTGAGTATTTTTCAAGAAAAAAAATAATACAAAAGGCATGTGTATCTTTTTTGGAAAAATGCTACATGATTAATTCTAGAAAAAAACATAAAGTTTTACATGTGCAAAAAAACAGTGTAATCGGGTGTCAACACTGGCGATATATTCACTTTCGCTATGACCTCTCTTTCTCCATGGACGTCGTCAGACAGATTATCCACCTTGGTGTATGAAAGACTTGGGTGGTTGCAGTATCTCAGTAGGCAAATCTCATGTTGGGGGCATAGCTGAGTTTGTCCAGGTTAGGCATGCAGGCAAAGTTGATCATGGGTGGAGGGCCACACATGAGGACGAGGGTATCCTCACCGGGCGGGGGCAGGTGCTTCTTGATCATCTCATCGCTCACGAACCCCTTGCTGAAGCTCCACCCTGAAGCAAGGAGGAAGAGGGTTAGACAATCTTTTTTTATTTTTTGGGTCTTGATATTCCAAGTATCTGTGAATTGGTTGGATTTAAAAAAATATATATATAAATATATTTAAAAATTTACTTTTTTAAAATAGATTTTTCTTCTTTTGAAGTTTCAATGCCACAGCAGCCAACGACTGTAACTGCTGTCATCAGCAAGACGATAAGTGTCTCTTTACTTTGTTATTATTTATTTATGTTTTGCAATATACCCGTTTTTCCATAGATTAGCAGTAGTATTCAATATGGCCCCATTATGTATTTAGACTTCAGTCATGATCAAGGCATTTCGGTCTCAATGACCAAGGGAAGTCAAGGAAGACTTTCCTTCAAACAACTAGTTTGTCTGGACCAGACAATCCAGTGATTGACATCATGAGCGTCGATCTACCCAATTGGGATATGATGACATGCATCAACCAAGTCAGCGAGCCTTACCACCCGATCCCATTAGTAGCCTCTTACAACAAGCATGGGTTGCTGAAGACCTCTTCTCTATCTGGATAACTAGTGTCGCATCATAATTGTTTACAACAAGGGAGAGTCAATTGTCTCTAAAAGACCAGTGTCCACCTTTGCCAAACTATGCTGGAATTATGGAGTTATGTCTTAGTTGCCATCACCAGTACTAGTGGTAGGACGATACACTGATGCATCGGTAGATCGCGATATTCTACTTCCCGTTTCAAGTATCGATCTTAGTCGCACACCAAGTACAAAATATCGATTCATACCTTAAATGTTTACTTTAATGGCTGTTACACCAAACACTAATTAGCAGTGAAAAAAGTAAATATTTTTATCCGTTGAGTCATACATGACACTGCCAGCTCTAAATCGTCAGAGCGGAAAGTGCGCTGTTCAAGAAATATCCATTTTGCTAGCGATAAACATCACCAACTTTTGATCACGTGATTACTATCCGGGTAAGCTTCGGCAGTCAGGTGACTATATTTAGGCTATATTTAGCAGCGTGTGCGGAGTACATACTGAAACAAAATAACATGTAGATGTATAATATTTTGTGATTCTATTTCAAGTGGCGGGAACTAAAGTGCTAAGCAGTCACTCACCCTCCTTGGGCCTGTCCAGCGTGTACCACAGGTGGAACCTGTTGGGGTACTTGTTCTGGATCTCCTCCAGCTCCGGACGCAGCAGGATATCATCCTCAGTCTGTGGATAAACGTCGGAATTATTATTAGTGAGTGAGTGAGTGAGTATGGTTTTACGCCGCTTTTAGCAATATTCCAGCAATATCACGACGGGGGACACCAGAAATGGGCTTCACACATTGTACCCATGTCGGGAATCGAACCTGGGTCTTCGGCGTGACGAGCGAACGCTTTAACCAATAGGCTACCCGACCGCCCGAATATCATGTAGTGAGTGAGTGAGTACGGTTTTACGCCGCTTTTAGCAATATTCCAGCAATATCACGACGGGGGACACCAGAAATGGGCTTCACACATTGTACCCATGTCGGGAATCGAACCCGGGTCTTCGGCGTGACGAGCGAACGCTTTAACCAGTAGGCTACCCGACCGCCCCCAGAATTATTAGTAATTTTTTTACATTTGGATACTTATCCTGCATTACAACCTTATCCTTCTACTGCTATTGTTCTGACATAGGAGACGGAGCTGTGAGGTCTGTCGTACCCTCTAGATGTGTGGTTTCCCTCCTTCCACAACTACCATGTGACCGGCAGTGGCAAGGTCATGCACAATCACAACCAGAAAATAGCATTAGAAGCATTATAGTAGTAATGCAGGACAAGATAAAAGTATGTATAATGAAGCACCAACTGTTTGAAATCACCCACCCTCTTTACAGCGCCTTATGCTAAAATTAATCCAGCAGGCAGGGGTAAGAAGTGTGAAAACAATTCAGCAGGCTAAAGGTTAATAACTGAGCGAGTGAGAACCATTTAAAACCATTTTTAACAGTATTTCAGTGATGACTCTGGAGAAACCCACAAACACAGGTCTAATGCTGACAAAGCAAGGATAATTATCACGTCAAATCTGGTATTATATCCACAATAATAGGATCCTGGTACCTGAGGTACGTAACTCTGCACTACAACTGTAGATATAAAGGATCTTTTCGTATCACATGTCTGTTGCTTAACGTGTGATGACGATCTGTGAATAATCAAGTGCGGACCAGACAATCCAGTGATTGATATCATGAGCATTGATCCATGCAACCGGGATACGATGACATGCATCAACCAAGTCTGCAACTGTCTGTAAATAATCAAGTCGTGACCAGACAATCCAGCAATTGACAACATGAGCATTGATGCATGCAACTGGGATACGATGATATGCATCAAGCAAGTCTCCAAGCCTGACGACGCCTATTACAACAAGCATAGTCACTTTTAAGGGGAGCATGGTTGCTGAAGACCAATTCTAACACGGATCTTCACGGGTTTCTTAAAACCAGGCACAAATCGGACCTGGCAAACTGCAGACACATCTGAAGCCATACAAAATTGTAATTCCACAGCTTCCTTAAACCGTTTCCTCATGCAAGGCACTGAATCTGACCTGGTTGGCGAACAGAAGCCACATCTCTGTGGTGTCGTCAGGATCCTTGAGCGACTGGCGCACCAGCTGCAGCATCGGTGTGATACCTGCACAGGGAGTGGAGTGAAATAAAAATAAATAAAAATAAATAAAAATAAATAACAACAATACACTCTTGAAACAAATTCATGAAGTCTGCTTTAATATGTGAACTTATTTTCTTTAAGTAACTAAGTTGTCTTATCACATTGTTTCTGTTCTAAATTCCCGTATTGGGACGAAATATTAGCACATGTTGCCACCTGACAACTATAGCACACAACTAAACTTAAAACCACAGTCGAATCACGTGTAACAGTCATCGTGCACATGAAAAATCAATATTTTCATGTTATTTCAACATTTGTTTGGGTGCGTTCTGGTGCACTGTTTCTCTGTTGCATTTACTCAAATGGTTCTTCTGTCCAGGGAGTCAGATTTATATGGAAGGCCAAGATAGCACGAAATAGGTTGTCAAATAGAGATTATTGCTCGATTATTGGCATTTATATGAAGCGAGTGTCAGGAATATGTGAACTGTGTACTTTGCAAGGAGTTTTATCAACTTCAAATTCACACATGTCTTCTGCAGACTACGAGTCTATGGTGATTAAAGAGATGATAGATCCATCAAGATCAACTGTCTTTGTTTGGCTCAATGTAGGCAACATGTGCCAGGTAATGTAGTTAACGAGATTTCTTCAGGTATGCTGCTCTAGTGTTTTAATCTGGGGTTTGTTTGTTTGTTGTTTCATATTGTACTCTGCAATATTCTACCTATTTATCAGCGATCTGTGAATAAATTGATTCTGGGCCAGACAATCCAGTGATGGACATTGTGCACATCGATCTATGCATTTGGGATATGATTGCCTGCATCAACCAAGTCAGCAAGCCTGACCACTCATTCCCATTAGTCGCATGGGTTGCTGAAGACGGGGTTGAATCTGGGGCCAACCAAGCTATTTTACTTTTAACGCTCTTGTGACAAGGAACACTTCCTTTCATCCTTAATTTCAAACAGTGTGTACCACTGACTGGGTATGGAGGGAATCTCTCATATTTTGGGATCATTAATGAAAATAATACTCAGATTAGCATTGAAGACACAGTTTTGCCTATCTTGAGGTGAGGTGAGGTGAGGTGAGGTGAGGTGAGGTGAGGTGAAATGGGGTTTAACGTCGCGTCCAAGATTATTGCACTTATATAACAACGTGCATGTACGTGTGTGTGTGGCTGCTTGTACAGGTCTAGACTGATGCCGATTTATAGTGCTAGCTCACTGAGATATCATGCCGCAGTTTAACATGAACACTCCACTCAGACAGTATACTGACTCTGAGCCGACCAGTCCTTGTTTTAGCCCCTTAATGCTGAGTGCCAGACAGGGTAACAACAAGTACCATCTTTTAACGTCTTTTGGTATGACGTGGCCGGGGATTGAAACCCGGACCTTCCGCTCTACCACTAGACCATGGAGGCAGTCCTGCCTATCTTGAACCAAATGAATGAGAAGTATGCGTGGACAGAAAGTTATATCATAATTGGTTGTAAAGTACTCAGTGTGATCAGCAATCCTCATCAATCTCAATCAGACAGGACCGCCTCCGTGGTCTAGTGGCAGAGCATCCGCCCGGACAGCGGAAGGTCCGTGGTTTGATCCCCGGCCGCGTTATACCAAAAGACGTTAAAAGATGGTACTTGTTGTTACCCTGTCTGGCGTTCAGCATTAAGGGGCTAAAACAAGGACTGGTCGGCTCGGAGTCAGTATACTGTGTCTGAGTGGGGTATTCATGTTAAACTGCGGCATGGTATCTCAGTGGGCTTAGCACTATAAATCGGCATCAGTCCGGACTAGTACAAGCAGCCCCACACACACACACGGACATGCACGTCGCTATACAAGTGCAATAATCTTTGACGCGACGTTAAACCCCATTTCACCTCACCTCAATCAGACAGGTTATCAAGTCCCTTTAAACTCAAGGACAGTTGACCATCTTAACCTTGTGAATACATACTGAACAAGATAAGTTGGGAATCGTGACTATTTTGGGATTTTTTTTATGAAATTGTGTGCTCAGTCTTCACTACCCAAAAATATCGGCCAAAATATTCATGATCCCTTACATTTTTGTTCAGTATGGGAACAAGTATGCAATGCCAGGTGTCTCGAAGGTAATCATTCACATATGTTCCATCAACTTTCAACATGTATCAGGTTTGGATGAAAAGTCTTTCATAGTTTCTAAATTGTGCTCTGGAAATGACACCTATTCCCACCCTTTTGAGTTGAAGTCCAAATTGTTTCCATGGAAATCGAGAAAAAAAATGCCCCAAATCCACAAATAACAAAAGGCACCACTTCAGGATCTGTTTGATATATCTGCCAAATGTTGTTGAAAGATATTGAATGTTTTTTTAGTTGTGCTCCGGAAGCGAAATCCACCCCACCATTAGAAACTAAGTCCAAACTGTTTCCACCGAAATCGAGTAAAACAAAAATGTCAAAAATTCACATGGTCCCTCACCAGTTCCGCCAGCAATCATCCCGACCTTCTTGGCCAGCCTGGTCTCGGCCTCAGACTTCTTGTCAGCACGGATCTTGTAGCAGCCTGAAACAATCACAGAGAACTTCACAACAATGTTTGAAATAATTAAGAACCCAACAAGACAGTCACGAAGGTGACCCATAGTGTTGCCTGCCCATCTGCCAGCATTCAGACATTATCAATATTAAAAATCACAAAAAAAAGGGGACAAATCGCAATCTTGATCCATATGAAATAATGCAAACAATTACTTGAGAATCTCCTCTGGAGTTATGATAAAACTGAATGCGTAAGTAGTCTTAAAATTATCTGCCAGAGAGTCGGGCATGTGGAGGAAAATTTCATGGAGCCCGACTGAAAAGTTACAAGCCATGGGCAGGCGGGCAAGCAGTTATTTCGGACACTGGGCCGACAACCCCGATTCTCCCATCTTTCTTTTAATCAAATGCTCACAAGAAGGCAAGCTAACCATGAAGCAAAGTTATCTCCCTTCATTCAACACATTGATACCGGTTTCAGCCAGCTCATTCTCCTACTCACCCCTGCCTTCATACATGAGCAAGCCATTGGGTCCACGGACATCCATGAAATCTCCAATTTCCATCTTCTCCAGGTACTGAGACATCTTGCCTCCCTCAGGGAACTTGGGGTGGACATTCTTGAAGTAAACCTGTAGACAGCATTAGGGTGAGTGAGTTGGGTTTAACGATGCTTTTAACAGTATTCCAGTTATATCACAGTGTGTCAGCTTAATGTGGGAGGAAAGCCCAAAGTGATGCAGGTCTCAGACATTTACCACTTTGGTGAAACCCACGAGCACGGGTATGGTGCTGACAAACCTAGAAACATAACCGGGGCGAACCGAGATTTGAATGCACAATCATAGGTTTCTGGCGTGCTGAAGGGACGCAACTCTGCATAGAGAATCACAGCACCTTAGACAACTGGGCCACCCGTGCCCCCGACGACATCAGGGATTTAACAAGGATTCTAAACTAAGCGCCCATGGCCGGCAAACCGGGAAAAATTCTTATCATGTTGAAAATTGGAATTTGTATGAAATCTTATTTTACTACAGTCATGGGTAGTTTAAAACTAAATTTTATTTTACTTCAATTACATTTACATTTACATTCAATGCAATTATGTAAAACTAGGCATTGAAGACTCTATACTTTGAGGTCCTGTTATCAGCCACCTTGATCATGCCATCACATTAGTTATAACTATACTCATCGTCAAAAGAAACGCGAATATCCTACATGTTGGTTAAAATATGAAGACTTAGTCGCCTTTTATGGCAAGCATGGGTTGTTGAAGACCTAGTCTACCCCGGATCTTCATGGGTCCAAAACCTGTGAAGTATTGACGGATGTCAGTGTATGAATCTGTCCCACCTTGATGACCAGGTCCATGTAGCCCTTGTCGTCATCACTGGACACTGGTGTGTACGGACGGATGACCAGCTGGCCATCAATCCTGGCTGTCAGGTAGATGTGCTGGCCTGGAAGAGAGGGAACAAATCAGAGCGGATGTTACGACTATACATCTTGGTACAGTGATCGCTCGCTATTGCGCTCTTCGATAAAGCGCTACTTCGGTTATTACGCGCGGTAACGCATGGCTCCCAAAATTTATGTACACTTTTAATACTGAGAGTTTTACACAGACATGATTGTATTGTTGTTCGTTGTTTATTTGCACATAACGCTTCTCACTGCATAATCAACGGTTTATTGCTGAATGGAGTTCTAATAATCTGTTTGAAAACATCCGCGGCAGGTCCCGGAAATACGATTGTTCTACTAGTTAACTTTTCACACTATACATCCTTTGATCTTAGAAGCGCATGCATGCAATAAAAGAGAACCACAAGTGAAGTTTATATTCTTAATTAGTGGGCAATCCAATTTAAGGCTCAACTGTCACACACATGTAGTTGCTGTCACAACAAGGCGGTCATTCATTTCGTAATCGCGCTTTCGTAACATCGCCTGTTTTTTCCCCGTAGTTATAACAAGCGATTTCATTGGATTAAAATTTGTTTCTAATGACGCTTTCTTGCCGAAATCTGCTACAAGTTTCGTGATTGGTCAATTTTGAGCACGTGACCTCAGGCAGCCAACCAAGCTGTGATACAAAGCTCGTGTTTGATAAATTTCAGAAGTTAGCGAAAGATTTTTTGTTAAATCGTGTTATTCTGAACGTTTTAAGCAGGAAATCACGATATATATTAAAAATATGGAACTTCGCGAATGTATCGTGCTAGGTTACGAGCTGTGACAAAGATTTTTCATGCATATATTTTTGCATTAAACGTTGTGTCCGAGCCGAGAATTCAAGGCGACGAAAGCCGAGATGTCATTTGACTTACATTACACGCGATCGCACGAAACGATGGAAATAATAACTTAGATGTAAGTTTGATTACTTTTAGATATATTTTTGTTGATTTTATTTATCACTTTGTATAATATATTTAAAGATTTGCTTAAAATAGTCTTTATTTTGCTCTTTGACATGTTCGATGCGGACCCGTTGTCGAAATGTGTGTCCGAGAATTTTATTTTCAATAACATCGCGGGAAATAGTGAATAATTTTTTAATTTATTGATAAAAAATGATAAATTAGAATGGAATACGTATTTCAGACATTGTGAAATATAAAAATATATACTATTTTGACGTGACGTGAGATAAACACATAGGCCTATTGATGATTTGAGATTTGCCGAGCGCGCTCCCCCGCCTCGGCCTCGGTTAAACGGCTCATCGTCTATAACGCCCACCAATTATTTGGACCCCATTGGTAGCGCAATAGCGAGCGATCACTGTAGTAGCTATCAATCAGTTCATATTCAACTTGCATGACTGTTCAAATAAGCTTTTAAGTTTGTTTATTTGTTAAACGCCCCACTCAGCAATATTCCAGCTATATGACTGCGGTCTGTAAAATAATCAAGTCTGGACCATACAATCCAGTGATTGACATCATGAGCATCGATCCATGGAATTTGGATCGATGACATGTATCAACCAAGTCAGCGAGCCTGATCACCTGATCCCGTTTGTCCCCTTTTACGTCAAACATATTCGCCTTTAACAGCAAGTATGGGTTGCTGAAGACCTATTCTAACCCGGATCTTCACGGATTCTGTTCAATTAAGACTCATACAAATAGTAGTATGTAATACCATGGATCATTTCATTTCGTGACAGATTGTTATGAAGTGCTAGCCCGAGTAGTAATTGGCCAGGCTTCTAAAAAGTAAATTTTAAAAATAATAATTGATTGACGAATCAACAAATGGGTAGCCATAAGTGTAAATTCATCAATAATCGGTAAATGTTGACAACTTTTCGATCCAGCCAAGAACTATTCACTGTTCAACCATCAAAACACTGTCCATACTGAGCAGCCATGTTGGCCATCCGATACCCAGTACTACATAAACAAGAAAACAGCGTTATCACTATGCCCCGTCATGGGGCACATTAGAATTTTGTTTGTTCATATAGTAGTGAATATAAACTAAAATAAGGTGAGGTTAGGTGAAATTGGGTTCAACGTCGCGTCCAAGATTATTGCACTTATATAGCGACGTGCTTGCACGTGTTTGCGTGGCTGCTTGTACTAGTCCGGACTGATGCCGATTTATAGTGCCAGCTCACTGAGATACCATTGCCGCAGTTTAACATGAATACCCCACTCAGACACAGTATACTGACAACAAGCCGACCAGTCCTTGTTTTAGCCCCTTTATGCAGAGCGCCAGATAGGGTAACAACAAGTACCATCTTTTAACTTTTTTTGGTATGACGCGGCCGGGGATCGAAACTCCGGACCTTCCGCTCTCTGGGCGGACGCTCTACCACAAGACCACGGAGGCGGCCTACTAAAATAAGGAGTCCTATAAAGCCTTAAGAAGAAATAGGCAATGGGGATTTTTTATGTCATCAGAAGAAAATGATTAAATGTGAAATTAATACACACAAAACAATTTCTGGAAAAATAACTCAGTCTTGATAAGTATCTCTTAGATAAGCTAACTTCATAACATGCACCAAGTAAAATAACATGGATCAAAGGATGTAACTCCATAAAGAAATAAATGATGGCACCAATTTTCGACTTCTTGAAAAGTATCTCTTTGTCAAGCATGCAACCTTTCATTCAAGTAACTTCAGTAGTTTCTGTAAAAACTTGTCCCCATTTCATACAGTATGCACTAAGTTGAAAAGAACTGAGCAAGGGCAATAACTCTGTTAAAACCTCGTGGTGGAGATAATTATGAGCTACTGGGAACTGAGAAGACACACAGGAGGGAGTCGATAAATGTTTGCTTCATCAGAGACCAGGAGAACAAGATCAACATGTAATTACATTTGTCAGCCAGAAGTAGGCAAACTGGTTAAAATTTCAAGACCACATGATCATTATCCTCAAAAAGCCAGCTATTATCAATATTTAGATAACAAAGACACAGCAAAAATATTCAGGCTCAGATATTTTGGAAAATTGTGTATTTTACTAATTCAACAACACAAACAAACCCACCTGCGTAGATCGAAGCTCATAATGTCAATAACTGGATTGTCTGGTCCAGACTCAAATATTTACAGACCACAGTCTTATAACTGGAATATTGCTGAGTGCAGCATAAAACAACAAACAAACAACAGTCAAACGAACCTACCAACGGGCAGCCCCAGGATGTGTTCAGGCGATGGCAGAGCAAAGCGGAACCTCCTAGTGTCATGGCTGATGATCTGTGGAATAAAACATGGACAATACTAAGGTGGGGGTAAAAGCAACAGTGAAATTCAAGAAAAACAAAAAAGAATTTTTCCAGATTTGTGTCAGCTGGAAAAACAGGAACACAAAATTATTTAGTCTTTATCATCAAATTTCTTTACCATAAAACTTGTCGCAGTAGCATCATCAATACACTGGATCACCAAGGCTAGGAACGTCTTGGCAAACACATAAATACTGATTTAAGAAAGGTAATATACCACTTAACTTTTGATAGGAATAACCTACACTTGACATGTTATGAGTGAGTGAGTGAGTGAGTTGGGTTTAACACTGTATTCCAGTTATATCACGGCGTGTCAGCTTAATGTGGGAGGAAAGCCCAAGGTGATGCCGGTCTCGGACATTTACCACTTCGGTGAAACCCACGAGCACGGGTATGGTGCTGACAAACCTAGAAACATAATCGGGGCGAACCCAAATTCGAACCCACAATCAGAGGTTTCTGGCAAGCCCAAGGGACACAACTCTGCACAGCAAATCGCGGCGCCTTAGACGACTGGGCCACCCGTGCCCCCCGACATGTTAGGAGAATCAGTTTTGTGTATCAAGGAAAGATAGAATTACCCCTATCACAAGTGGAGTAGTTTATATAGGAAAGATCAAACCTTTACAAACTGCAGCCATTTGAATTCAGTGGGCAATACTTGAGCAAAATTATCATGCACATTCAGTAATCTACGTTTTATTATAACGAACACTCTTACAACGAACTGACCAACATAAAAACTTATTTTTTAGTCATGGATATTTGTTGTGTATATGCTGTATATATGCTTAAAACGAGTGAGTGAGTGAGTGAGTGAGTGAGTTGGGTTTAACGCCGCTTTTAACAATATTCTAGTTATATCGCGGCGTGTCAGCTTAATGTGGGAGGAAAGCCCGAAGTGATGCAGGTCTAAGACGTTTACCCGAGAGCACGGGTATGGTGCTGACAAACCCAGAAACATAATCGGGGCGAACCGGGGTTCGAACCCACAATCATAGGTTTCTGGCGTGCCCAAGGGACGCAACTCTGCACAGCGAATCGCGGCGCCTTAGACGACTGGGCCACCCGTGCCCCCGCTTAAAATGAACTATGGCTATTACAAACAAAAATTTGTGGTCCCTTTGAGTTGGTTACAACTGCAGTTTACTGTATATTCAAACAGAACAGCCACATAACCACCTCGCTATAAATAAATTCATGCACTTTGAATTCTGAAGACTGGCCGACCATGTGTCTGATAAGCTCATTAATATTCATCAATATTCAAAAGTCTCAGGAAGCCATCACACATTACTGTTATATATATAAGATAGCAATCTCACTAAAATCAGACCTTTGTTCTCGCTAGCGCTAAACAAAGGTCTGAAGACATCCCAGTAGGGGTCATGTCAGAACGACCTTTCATCCGACCAATCAGAGCGTCGCTTTCCAGATTATGAAAGTGACAGTCGGAATGTGATTTCTAATCATGCAATTTTGAAAACTTTAACACGGGGTATTCCGAACGATGGTTGCGGGCTTAACGACTGAATCCATACAATCTAGACCATCTAGTAGCCATTCTAGAATGTTCTTTTGTTTAGGCTCCTAATTTGTAATCGAGAATTTGTCAAAATATGTTTCGAACCATAGTCGCCAATTTGAAATTAGTAAAGCTCGAGAAAGCTTCCTTCTGATTGGTCATTCCATTGGTTGGTCATTCCATTGGTCGGTCAAAGTTCGCGCAAGGTTGGTCTGACGTGACCCGTAATGGGATGTCCTCAGATCTTTGTTTAGCGGCAGCCAGAACTAAGATATGATTTTAATGAGATTGATAAGATAGCCACGTGATAAATCGAAAGAACAAAGCGTGGTTTAGGGCTGAGACGAGTCCAAATTTACTTCCCGTGTACCCAACCCCTATTACCCAAACCTACCCGGATACCCGCTGTAGGTCTCAAGCGGTAGGTACAAACTGTCCCATTGAGAAAAGTTTGACCATAGCCCTGGCAAAATGTGTTTAGATAACGTATAAAACGATCTGGTGTATACACTGAAGTTGACTGAAGTTATATTTTTATTCAAACATATAAAAGTCAGAAGGAATGGACTTAGTAGTCAGAAAGAACATTAGTGACTTGTAGTTTAAACATACAGTTCTAGATAATTTTTTACTTTAAACAATATATCACATGACTAACCAGGGGTCCTGTGGTACTGTCGTATCCGGGTCCTACTCATTACCCAACCGAGTACCCGAGTTACCCGTTCCAGCCCTAGCGTGGTATATTTCATGACAAAACATTGTTCTATCATGACGTCATTTCTGGAGATTTGAATATGCAATGACACCGTAGATTGAATGACATTAATTTTGAGTGGGAAGTGTCTGGTGAGTTGATCCCATAGATGTAGCTGGGGTGCGCAGATTAACGCAATGGCCGAACAATCACATCCAAAGTGGGAGAGAAGGTACAGATAATCAATGGGATGATTATGAGAACATGCGGGAAATACGGACACAACCCACCTGTCCATACAATGTACTTGTCCGACATTGCCAAGGTCGTATTCTATTCAGGCAGTCATCATTAATAAAACAAGCATGAAATACTCATATCCCCCGCCAATATGACATGTCTGGTTGTGTGCAAGGCATTAGCCCTCCGGAAACGAGCACTAGCGCCATTTTCAGTCTAAGTGAAAGTCGATGCCATGGACCTCGTAAAATAAAATTTTTTTAAATCCCAAACTATCAAAAGGGTCCAGATCACCATTAGACCTTTCGATGTGCCAAGTTTGGTTAAGTTGTCTCTCATGGTTTTTGAGTTCTGCTCCGGAAACGAAACATGACGGATGGACGGACAGCACCCATTCGTATATCCAACGTCCACTTCGTGGCGGGGATTATTAAGGTATATGTGTTTAAAACTTGCACATTTTATCAACATCCTCAAACAGGCTGTACATAATGTTGATATCTCATAAAAAGAAAGAAATAATAGACACAAGGGCCGAGGGGTGGCCATGGTCTTAATGTAAATATGCATTACAGCTGAACCATTTTGACAACCCTGCATTGTTAATCCAAGGATAGATTAACAGTTGCAGAAACTAACATTTTTGGACCACTAGTCCTTATAATGATAATATATAGCAAAACCCTTAAAAATGGCAAATTTCTACTAGTCCTTATGATACAGCGTTAGAAATTGGCACTAGTCCTGAAGTCCTTGCCAAACTGCCCAATAGTTAAGGTATCATAAGGACCAGTAGAAATTTGCCATTTTTAAGGGTTTTGCTATATGTTATCATTATAAGGACTAGTGGATTAAAACTGTTAGTTTCTACGGCTGTGATACCTTAACTATTGGGCAGTTTGCCAAGGACTGCAGGACTAGTGCCAATTTCTAACTCCGGATTAATGTATCATATCCAGCTGGTCTACTGGTTAATGTAAAGAAACTAGATTTTGGGCAAAAACAACTGGTCATTCCGGATTTTCACTAGTCTCAGACAAGCGGACCAGTGGTGGTACATGTATTTGGTGTATGGTGAATCACAAACTAACTGAATGGTTAAAGGAAGTCAGATATTCTTCCATTCAAATAATTTTGTTGTTTTTGGTTGTGCTAAGCTACAGATGTCTACTATCATGTCTATCAGGGCTATTGTAAGGACGTTAATGCTGCATCATGGTAAGGCCATACTTTTTTAATTTTCTGTTTCACAGATTTATTCAAGCTTTTCCACACAAGGTCAGAAGAAACAAAAATAAGTGTCAATAAGAGCAAAAGTGAGCGTGGCTCACTAATACCCCCGACCCGCCTAGTGTGTCAGTAGTTTCAAATTAAATAATGGATAGGGTTAGGGTTTGAAAAATTCATAAAAAAAATGGAAAATTAATAAAAACATTTTTTTTCTTTTTCCTCCATATGACGCAGATTATATGTACTAAGTTTGAGATGAATCCACTAAATAGTTTAAGAGAAATCGCGCGGACAAAGCTTTCGGACAGACAGACGGAACCTTAGTATAACTATATACCCCCGATCTTTTAGGTCAGGGGTATAATTATTTATTTATTCATATGAAAGTCATTCTGCTGTGGAGTAAAAACTGCAGCTGTCTTCTTGAATCACTGATAGTGATGTAGACATGGAATTTATAGATAACATGTTTTATTGTACAAGACTAGAGGGTGTATATTACTAGCGGTAGATAACATGTTTTATTGTACAAGACTAGAGGGTGTATATTACTAGCGGGAAACATAAAAAAAAAAAAAATTGTTATGTTTAATTCATTTCTTAAACTGGGTGCTTTTCAGTAGGGGCATCAGGCTCGTGAAACGAAAAATAAAAAATGTGTGGCCTAAGGAACAATTCCACAAATTTTCCAGCTCATCAAGCATTTCCATAAGAAAAACGAACATTCAGAAAAGATATACCTGTACACTATTCAACGTAATAAGCGCCCCACTCTAAAAAGCACCCACGGTGATATTTGCTGTGACTTATTTATTTGCACATACTTTTCTTTTGTATTACTCCAGGTGCATAAACCTAGAAATTTATGATCTTTCAACTATCTCTTTTTTATTTTTTATTTCTAATTTTGAGAGCGCCCTGGGCGCTTATTACGTCAAATATGGTAGACCTCCATTACAAACAACAGTACCAAAATTAATAATGACATAACCATATTCCAACTGATAAATTATATTTCATTTCAACAGAATAATAACTTATGTAACGTCTGAAGACAAAGCTTTCAACACACTTACCTCCTTGTCCACAAGTTTGAAGGGGTACTTCACTGTGGGGTCCTGTAGAGTGACTGGAGACTTCTTCTTCTTATCTCCAAAAAGGAAGATCTTGGCGAGAATGGCGGTGACGGCAACGACGCCTATACCAATCAGCACTGGAACGCCCTGGCAAAGATATTCCATCCAGTCAGACATGCTGATCGGTGATTATACACAATATCTATCTGTTGTTTAACTTTCACTGTTTCTTTAATCAACAGTGAAACGAACCCACAATCACGTCACTTGTCCCACCACTGGTTTGCCCTGAAGCAAACTTGATGAAAAAAACTGACACACAAGCAGTCTGCGACTTTCGCCACTAGTCCGAAGCCTGCGTCTATAAAAGTGTGTTTGGTCTTGTAAGCTCAGCTAACAATAGTCCACATAATAACACAACTTTCCACTGGAAATGGTTCCAAAAGTAAGTTTGGGCTAGTAGTTGGAAACGTGTTTTCACAGGATGCACAAGTTAAGATGATTCCCAGCATATTCCTAATGGTAAAGTGACCGAGAGAATTGAAGCAAGCTTCAAGCTCTGCAGCCTCCAAACAAATTCTTCAATGATGACTCAAACACATAAAATTCACATGAACTGAGAGAGGCAGTATGCAACCATGTGATACTTGATACTGTCCTGTACTGTCACATCGCTAATCAACATTGGACACTCCTAATATTCAGGAACAAACGTCCCCTCAGACTTCACACTAACCTACCACAAACAACACAAATCTCCCCACTCATTAGTTAAGCAATGGAATTCACAACAAACCAACATCCACAAACAAAACAATTTTTTTCATCTGCAGGAGGAAGTTCTCTATCACTTCAACATCAACAGTCAAAATAGACTTCCAGTTGATCAGACTAGGTCACAAAAAGACACAAATTAAAAAAAATAGCACATTCTCGCTAATTAAGCTTCCCCAACAGATCTTTACAGCAACGCCCCCACAATTGTTGGAAATGTAAATACTTCCCTGCCTAGTTAAGCCATAGAATTTGAGTGGGCTCACTTAGATGTGCTTATGTTGTGCATATAGACATCACAAGAATTCCACACCCAAAGCAACCCCTCAGTACTGCATGCTTCACAGGCAATGAATGTTAACTAGTGTGTGATCACCCAACTGTGCTTAGATTGAATAGAAACTGGCACAACCCAAATTGATTTGCTGAGTTTTAGATTTATCTGGAGGCAAGTAGCCTTTCTCCAAGGCTTGACTGAAAGATAAGTCCATGGGTGTATAGTAATTCTATCTTCCTAATAGGCAAGTCTAGATATGAGGACAGTTCTAAGTCTCTCATAGGGACAGCATGTTATTATTTACATCCGGAACTTATGATTTAAACTAATAACTATTGCCATAGAGACTTGTGCAAGTCTAGGAGGCAAGTAGAATTCTATGTTTCTGGGAGGGGTGTTCTGATGTTATCACCATTCTAGGTTCTTCAGGTTAATTCCAACTACTGTTTCAACAATGTCTGATCAAACCTGATTTTTGTATCTGTCTTCTGTTAACTGTAAATTTATTTCAAGGTGACATATTTAATTTGGCTGCAAAATTCCATTGCCTTGTGTGTGGGATTGTCCCCTATCATATTTAGTCATGTAAAAATATCTCGTCTGCAGGGCTTGACATTCCTAGACAACAGACACTAGCCAAAGAATCTAGTTGGAATACAACTAACTTCATGAGCCAAGCCTTACAGTTGTTAGATAGGGTACTAATCAGCATCGTTCAAAGAGTGAGTGAGTGAGTGAGTGAGTGAGTGAGTATGATTTTACGCAGCTTTTAGCAATATTCCAGCAATATCACTGCGGGGGACACCAGAAATGGGCTTCACACATTGTACCCATGTTTGGAATCGAACCCGGGTCTTCGGCGTGACGAGCAAACGCTTTAACCACTAGGCTACCCGACCACCCTTATTATTTTAGATATTACTTACAAGACATAGTTGCAGCAGTACTGGTAGTCAGTATTATCAGATAAGTTGACAGAGTGAGTTGGTTTTAATGCCATTTTGAACCATACTCAGCATTAGAAACTAATATTTTTAGTATGGTAGTCCTTATAATGATAACATATAGCAAAACCCCTAAAAAGGGCTAATCTCTACTAGTCCTTATGATACCTTATCTATTGGGCAGTTTGGCAAGGACTATGGGACTAGAGTCAATTTCTAAGGCTGTTGGTCCAGTTAGATCACGTAATGTCAGCATGATGTGGGAGGAAGTCACTACAGTCGACAAATTTAACTCATGACTAATCAGCTGTTTCAGGCCTCGATTTCATCAAGATATTACAAAAAGTTGTTATCAGGTAAATGCACTGTCTCTAGCATGTCTAGTCAGGCCTCAAATTTGCGACTAAAACGGTCACCAATGCGACCCACATTTTAGTTGCCTACTGTTTAAAATTCAGAGGTAGCCAAATGACTACCTTGAAAAATATCTTGTGGTGACTAAATTCTATTTTTGCACATCTGTAGACACAAAAATAACTATCAGCTGATCTTGGAAAACACGTCTGCTAATAATTGTACTCTCAAATAATTCCTCCTAAAGTTGACAATGAACTGAAATACATAAATATTAATGTAATTAGTAGTTCATTTCAGTTGACAATGCTCAATGGATAAGCAAGGATATACCTATATAATCTAGTAACATAAATTGTATCATTGTTCAAGTCACAAGTAACAAAAATCAAATACAGTTTCCACTAATATACAATTCCATGACTAGTGCTACAACTTGCACATACTAAAATAGTTATGTGATAAAAGATAATTTCAAATACTTTTGGCCACCTACAATATTGGCTTGACTTCTTGATTTTAACACTGGCTACTTGGAAAAAAATACTTGTAGCCATATGGCTACTTGGTAAAAATTTCAACTTTGAGTCCTGCTAGTCTCGAAGAAATATAAAAGGGGTGGCCAGGATATCTACACCCACTAGCATTTGTCCAGTTGGCCAGTGTATTCGTCGGGCCCTGAGTCTGTGTACAGGGATATCATCCACAGTCAGGGCCTGAGTCTGTGTACAGGGACATCATCCACAGTCAGGGCCTGAGTCTGTGTACAGGGACATCATCCACAGTCAGGGCCTGAGTCTGTGTACAGGGACATCATCCACAGTCAGGGCCTGAGTCTGTGTACAGGGACATCATCCACAGTCAGGGCCTGAGTCTGTGTACAGGGACATCATCCACAGTCAGGGCCGGAGTCTGTGTACAGGGACATCATCCACAGTCAGGGCCTGAGTCTGTGTACAGGGACATCATCCACAGTCAGGGCCTGAGTCTGTGTACAGGGACATCATCCACAGTCAGGCCCTGAGTCTGTGTACAGGGATATCATCCACAGTCAGGCCCTGAGTCTGTGTACAGGGACATCATCCACAGTCAGGGCCGGAGTCTGTGTACAGGGACATCATCCACAGTCAGGGCCTGAGTCTGTGTACAGGGACATCATCCACAGTCAGGGCCTGAGTCTGTGTACAGGGACATCATCCACAGTCAGGCCCTGAGTCTGTGTACAGGGACATCATCCACAGTCAGGCCCTGAGTCTGTGTACAGGGACATCATCCACAGTCAGGGCCTGAGTCTGTGTACAGGGACATCATCCACAGTCAGGCCCTGAGTCTGTGTACAGGGACATCATCCACAGTCAGGGCCTGAGTCTGTGTACAGGGACATCATCCACAGTCAGGGCCGGAGTCTGTGTACAGGGACATCATCCACAGTCAGGCCCTGAGTCTGTGTACAGGGACATCATCCACAGTCAGGCCCTGAGTCTGTGTACAGGGACATCATCCACAGTCAGGGCCTGAGTCTGTGTACAGGGACATCATCCACAGTCAGGCCCTGAGTCTGTGTACAGGGACATCATCCACAGTCAGGGCCGGAGTCTGTGTACAGGGACATCATCCACAGTCAGGGCCGGAGTCTGTGTACAGGGACATCATCCACAGTCAGGGCCGGAGTCTGTGTACAGGGACATCATCCACAGCCAGGGCCTGCCCCTACTTCCAATGAGCACAGAGCACAGTGTCATACGGAGTGATACATCCCTGTGTACAAGCACCTGCCCACCACCTCTGGAGGGACATGGTCCATCTGTTGTTGTAAGTCAATATGTACACAAGAAATGTGGGCGCAAGTTCTGCCAACACACCTGTGCACCGACTTGATCAGGTGGTTCAGGAAATGATGTAGTTCAGTAGTCGATGCAATCACTGAGTCCCAAAATCTGAATAAATCAGGTTCTTACCTTGACCTACAAAACTAGGGGCCCAGAAGACACCATCACCCAATAATTAATTTCAAGGGTCCTGACATTGTCTTGTTTCTTGTTTAAAGCCATACTCAGCAATATTCCAGCTATATGAGGGCGGTCTGTAAATAATCAAGTCTGGACCAGACAATCCAGTGATTGACATCATGAGTATCGATTCACGTAATTGGGATACAATGACATGGATCAACCAAGTCAGCGAACCTGACCTCCCTATGCCGTTAGTCGCCTCTTATGACAAGCATAGTCGCCTTTTCAGGCAAGAATGGGTTCACGAGTCACCAAGTCTGACCGCCTGATCCACAGTGAGGCCTCTTATGATAGATTGCCGGGCAAAAGTTCTAACCCGGGGGCTCCATTCAAAACTCAGTGCATGAGTGGTGCAGGCTGGTATAAACTGGGTGTAAGTCACCATTAGCTTTCAACAAATGTTCTGTGCAGCTGTTTACCTATGTTATGACCAGCTATGTTTTACCATATGTCTTTCTCTTAAAACAAATCACAACATTATTAACTTCAAGTTTCAAATACGACATCCCGTATATCACTGTATACTGAAAAATTTCTGACACCTTGAATCAGGGGTTAAAATTTGAGGTCTGTGCCACCCAAAATCAGAAAAAAATAATTTCTGCTGAATATTGAATGAAGAGCATCTAATGCTACAAGTCCATTAAACCTCAGATCTGCATTGGGACCTACTAAAATAACACAATGCTTTGACGAAGTAACAGATCCCCATCTACAGCATTAGAAATCAGCACTAGTCCTACAGTCCTTGCCAAACTGCCCAATAGTAAAGGTATCACAAGGACT